CCCTAGCGTGTTATTCAGTGAGCTTTTGGGGAGAAATTTTCTCCTTGTTTCTTCGCTTAATCTTCCATTTCTGGAAATCGATTCAGGTTTTAGGTTTTTGATTGATGCTGAGAAGTTTGTGTGTGTGTTCCGAATCTAGGGTTTGAATTAGATCTAATTTGTAGATTTACGCACGAAGAGCGAAACGAATGAAGGAAGGAGGAATCATGTCGGATTCTGATAAAGAGGTTGAGAATCAGATTGTTGAAGCTGGTGAAAAGCTTATTGACCCACCTTCTTCACTCGATGAGCTTCTTTCTCTCCTTGACGTGAGCTTTTTTTCTCCCTTCACCATTTCGTGTTCTCTATTGGTTGTTCTTATTCCTATGCTTCGTGCAATGCTAAGTGTGTGCATGTGTTTAGTGTTGGTTTCTGGATATGGATTTAACTATTGCTCTGCATCTTTTCTCTTATGGGTTGTATGTAGTTGAGATCTTGCTTAGGGTGATTTCTCTGTTTCGAATAAATTCTTTTCGATAATCCTTCTTGTTAACCATGCATCTATAGAGAATGGAATTGTTGGTTTAGAGAGGCTGCCTTAACAGTTCTGCTCTTGCGAAGACAATTTTGTTCTTTTTATGTTATTGAATTGGCTTCATCTAGCAATTGACCCTTTTCCCTTGCAAGGATGTGCGGCTAAATATGAGTGTTGGGGGATTAGGTTTTATTTGTCTGGTTTTGTTATGCGTAATTTCTGGTATCTGACCTTTGATACTTCCCACTATATAGATGGTAATCAAGTGCGTAAGGAAAGCCAGGTGTTTTAGTAGTTTCTACAACACTATTCGTACACACATCTATGTATATATGATTTGCAGTTCTAACATTGAAGGGATACCTATGGCGTGTTAACTGTTAAAAGACACTACTTTCTAAATCTTTAGAACTGCTTTGAAGAATGACATTCATCCCATAATCTAACTAATTGGTTTTTTATATGTATGATGAAATACGAGTTTATCTGTAATTTTTTCATGCTCTACCAAGGTTATCTAAGCTAGTTTTCTTGAATGGTGGATGCATCTGTTTAACTTAGATTCAAGTGTGTAGTGGGGATGCTGTGATTTTGGAGTGTTTGAGCTTGATGCTCCTTTTGTATTTTGCTGCAGAAACTTTTCCTCTGCCTGTCAGCTGTCGAACAGTCACCTCGCGACTCAATGCAGAATGCACTCTCTCCATTGATGAAAGCATTAGTCGCTGGAAAACTCTTCAAGCATTCAGACGTTGATGTGAAAGTTGCAGTTGCTGCTTGTATCAGTGAGATTACAAGAATAACTGCTCCGGATGCTCCTTATGATGATGAGCAGATGAAGGTATGCTATTGTTTTGTAATTTCTTTTGAGAGATTGGGCATAATGCTCATTGGTCGCTGACTCTTTTCTTCTTTTCATGCACAGGAAGTATTCAAGTTAATTGTATCATCATTTGAAAATCTAGTTGACCAATCTAGTAGCTCCTACTCCAAAAGGACTTCGATCCTTGAAACTGTGGCTAAGGTCAGATCATGCGTAGTGATGCTGGATCTTGAGTGTGATGCACTTCTTATTGAGATGTTCCAAAATTTCCTGAAGGCTATAAGGTACATGCTAATAAATCCATTTTGATAGAATCGAAATTGAACTTAGGAACAGTTTTATGATTTATGACTTTAAGGTCTGGAAAATATACAACCATGATATTGTCTACCTTGCTTATCATCCTGAATAGTTCTTCCTTATGCTATTTGATTCGTGGATGCTGTAATTACCACTCAGCATACTAGATAGACTTTTTGTTGACTATTAACGTTAGAAGCAGCCAATTCATTCAGATTACTTTTTTTTTTTGTTTTCTAACAGAAACTTGGTTTACTTTCCTCTGTGCATCTTCAAGCTTCCCAGTCGATATTATGTTTGTCTAATGATGAATTTATTTTCCTTTCCAGGGATCATCATCCAGAGAACGTATTTTCATCAATGGAGAACATTATGACCCTTGTTTTAGAAGAAAGCGAGGACATACCTCCAGAGATGCTTTCACCAATTCTACATTATGTTAGAAAGGATGATGAGGTAATACATTGATGGTCTTACTGATTTTCTTTCAGCAACCAATGCTCTTTTGTTAACTCTTTGAACTTGTCCTCAGGTTCCTCAAGTGTCACGGAGGTTGGCAGAACGAGTTCTCAGTAACTGTGCTAGCAAGCTCAAAACGTATCTGACTGAAGCAGTGAAATCGTCGGGTATCTCTTTAGATAAGTATAGTAACATAGTGGCGTCGATATGTGAAGGGACATTCAGTGCTTTGCAGCAAGACCAAAAACTTGATGCAAATGAAAAAGAGGTAAGCCTACTCATCTGTTTCTCTACCCAACTAGGTTTATATCTCACCTGTTTTCCGTGTGCCTCAACATTTGGTGATTATGCTGGTCGTTCAGTTACATTACAATTGCTCTTATATTGTTCTTCCAAAATTTTTACCCCTGCGGGATAGCAAGGTCATTTAACAATAGAAGCAGAAGTAGATGCATGGCACTTCTTCCTTAAATCAGCATTGAGCTCTTGAAACTTTTTTGATTTGGAGAAAAAGGATATATCTCTTAGTTCTTTTTGCTCGTGTAGATTGCTAATTTATATTTTCCAATCAGCAGGATGAACAGAAGGCAGCCGAAATTTCCACACCCGAGGGAACTGATGCACCTAAGAATGAATCTGGTAAGTCAGGAGTCAGCAATGGTGTTGCGCAACAGAATGATTCTTTGGTTGATACTGAGTCTACAAAGAAGCAAGACGATACAAATGCCAAAGACGAGCATCAACAACTTGATAATCCTAGCAAAACTGACTTGGATAATACTTCTGAAGAGAAGCATGATGCTGAAGACCAAATTGAGGAAAAAGGAAAACAATCCAGTTCTGTCAAACAGGCGGATTCATCGAAAACATCAGATATTAAAGAGGAGACTGAACCTGGAGCACGCTTGGAAAGTTCCCTTCCGGATGATTCATCTGTTAGTGCAGCCATTTCTTCTGAAAATGAGAAGAAAACAAGTGAGCAGGCTTTGCCATCTAAGACATCAGCAGATGAAACTGCCAATGTCAGTTCTCCATCTAGGGATGGGGAGCTTCTCGAGGAAAGCCATCCTAAGAAGACTGCAAACCAGAAGAAAAAGGAGAGCTCAACGAAGGAGGCCAAACCATCTGATGCTAATGCTACCGAAGAAGCTTCTGAAGAACCAAACACATCTGAAGCTAAAGTGACAAAAAAATCTGGAAAGAAGGTTGCGTCTTCAAGTAAAGCGAAGCCTACTGTTCCTCCTAAGAAAAGCACCTCTGAGACAAAAGCAGCAAAGCAGTCAGAGAAAAAGGCAGTTGAGAGTGATAATGTGCAAGAATCCTCAAAGCCAAAAGAGGAGAAGAAAAAGCCAGGACGTGGGAAAGCCATGGATGAGGAGTCATTACATACTTCTTCGGGTGATAATGAAAAAGTAAGTCGTTCCCTAACCTGTGTTGATTCGATGCAAATCTGCCTTACCTGTCCTTATATCCTTTAATGTGTTTCAGCCAGCTGCTTCCTCTGGAAAATCAGCCTCAAAGTCGAAGAAAGAAGTGAAGCAACCGTTAGAAGAAAGTCCTAATACAAGTACTAAGAGAAAACGAAGTCTAGGCAAAGAGAAGGTATGCTTTCATAATTCACCTATTTGCAATTGTGATAAGATTCAAGATCTTATTTATCTTCATTACTCAATGAACAAGTACAAGAACACTATAGGGTTTGCTGTAGAGTCCCTAATCTCTTCCTAAGCCAAAGGCTTCCCAAACTACAGATGGTCAAAGACCTTTGATCTGTTATCCCTTTCTTTCTACTCTTTCAACGATGTCACACATCAAAATCAGCTCTATTAGTCTCATGTTCAACACAAGGCCATCCCCTTTTGAATCATGTCAAACTTGATTTTTTCTACTATAGTGAATTGAAGATGCCTCCTTTCTACTTTGTCTCTTTCCTGCTCCCAAGATGAATATGCAGAATTTGCATAACTAGTGAGGATCACAACACTGTCCACACAAAACTCCAATTTGGAATCTGGCTGTAGAGGCTTAGATCTCCACTTGTGCCTCATTTGGAAATTGTTCGCATCACCAATTATAATCTGTCTTTATACTATTCTTAGTGCTTATCAAATTGTTGCTCATATAAAGGAGTGTGGGAAAAGAATCATGTTTTACCAAATAGTAATTTTGCATGGTTGTAGTTTCTTATTCTCTTCATGTTGGAGATATTTTTCACTTAAGTTAAAACATATGTCTGTTCCCCTCTATGGAGCTTATGTATCTTTCGTTTTATCCTTTACCTGCACTGGTTTCTTGTGTTCTGTAGAAGTTTTCTTCGTAGACTTTTTCATACTGAACCTATTTCTTGGCAGGCATCTGAGCTACAAAACCATGATGACAATTTAGTTGGGTCGAGGGTCAAAATCTGGTGGCCTTTGGATCAAGCGTAAGCAATTTGTATTATCTTCTTAGGATTTATATTTGATTCATTCAGAAGCAAATCCCTTTTCCGATGTTCTATGTATTTTCCTTTAGATAGCTGAATCTGGGACTAACACCTTGGATAGTTGGATTTTTGCTGTCCACGCTTGTAAATGAATATTGTTTTTTTACCGCAGGTATTATAAAGGTGTGGTCAAAACATATGATCCTGCTAAGAAGAGACATCAGGTAAGCCCAATTTTATCAGTCTCCTCGATAATGTTTTTTGGGTTTTCTCATTTGTTTGTGGTGAATGTTCTCTTAAGGCAGTACATATTTTATTTTCATCTGATTCAGGACATTTTATGGTATCTTTTATTTGTTGTATGCTGTTGATATCTTCGTTTCTAGGTTTGCTATGATGATGGAGATCAAGAAATCTTGAATCTTAAGAAACAGAAGTGGTATTTTCTGGATGAATCAGAATCAGAGGTGTGCGGCATTATATTTCATTCATCTCTGAAACTTTTATTTCTTTCTATTCTTCCCCTTTGCTGAAACTTCCATTTTCTTACAGCAGGGTGAAGAAGCTGCTGATCAGACGGGTCATGATGAAGAAGAAGATGCCTCCACTGCGTAAGTGTTACTTCTCTAGTTCCGGTGTTTATGTGACACTTGGAAGAAATAGCTATATGTGATGATCTGTTGTTTGTGAGATTAATTTGCCATTCTTGTGATGACCAAGCTTAATGATTCTACATGCAGTCCCCAGAGGAAGAAAGCCAAGACAGGCAAGCAAACAAAGGTGGAATCATCGGTGAAAAAGTAAGTACATATGAAACTGAAAGCAAAACAGTTTAAAAGTTTTGAAGTCTCTACAAATTCTATACTAATGAGCGAATTTTGCTTCTGTTGTATTTAAGGGGTGGTGGAGCTGGATCAAGCAAGTCTAAAGCTGCTCCTGCTTCCAAGTCTGGCAAAAAGTCCCAGGATGACAAAACAGAGAGCAAACCAAAGGATTCAAAGGAACCTAACAAAGAAGAAGAGGATAGCTCTGTAGAGTTGAGCGAGGAAGAGGAAACCCCCAAAACCGTTGGTAAATCATCTACCGGTGCAAAATCAGGAAGCAGCAAGTCGAAGAAAGAGGTATCGAAATCTGGAAAATCAAAGGACCAAGGAGAGTCTGGCACATCCAAAGCTTCATCCAAGAAAAAGGAAGAGCCACCAGCCAAGTCTGGCACAACCAGTTCGAAATCCAAGTCAGCGCCACCAGCCAAGTCTTCATCGGCCAAGGGTAAAACGGTGAAGGGCAAAGCAAAACCTGGTTCTGCTTCTACCCCTTCCTCCAAAGCCAAGGAGAGTGATGCGGAGTCAGAATCTGAAGAGGCCCCAAAGGCACCAGAAACCGCAGCAAAAGGCAAATCAGTTGGTTCAGGCAAATCACAGGCAAAATCCGGTAAGAAGAGGAAGCGATGAGTCTGGCCATAGGAAAAGGCTTTCGTTCTTTTCTCTTTTGAATTATGGTTATGTAATTTAAGGTGGAAAGCTAAGCCTATCGGTGCTGGTTGCGGTGGCCGTGAAATGGTGGGGCTTGACGGCGTCTGGGCAGTAGAAATGTAGAATTGTTTTTAAGACAAGAAGCGTAGTAGTGGTATTTTTTTTTGCTTTCTTTTTTTCACTTAGGTTTGATCTAAGATTTATGTAGTGTTAAGATGGATGCATGAGGTGTTTGGTTATTTTTATTTTATTTTATTTTTTTGACCACGTTTTTCTGTTATGTCTCCTCCATTTGAGTTTTGGTGAGAATATTTGGGTAGATAAAAAAGAGTACACATTCCGACTGTTAGCCTAAAACCCTCATTAAAATTTGGATTTAATTAGGTTGAGTTGTGAATCTATGCATATTCTTAATCTGGGTCTAGGAATTAACCAATGTTTTTAAACCCAACTCGGTCAATAAATGGAATATTTTTGGGGCAATTGCAACAACATTGTTTTTGATGTATATTTGCAAGAATACCATTTAGGCACGTATATTTGCAAAAAACTAAACCATAATACAACATAGTTAATCCAAACATAAATGATATAATGAAAAAATAATTTTGAAAAAGTGACATTTTTGCAAAAATTTTGAAAATGTGGCAGTTTTGGGTCATCGGATCTTTGGATCACACAGGTTGACCGCGAGTATTACCTTTTTTTAATTATAATATTACTTTTTAATTATTATATTAACAATATAAATATGATAAATAGTAGACCACTTGAATGTAAAAAATCTATCCCTTTTAATAAAAAGAGATTGATATTTCTTTTGTTTTGACAAATAACAGATGAAAAAAAATTAGAAAATTCAATTCACCGTTGATGTAAATATCTTCCCACATCGGACTTAAAAAATATATATATATACAACATGATCAAAATATAATTGGGTTTTAACTTTTAAAGTCCACGTTTAAAATCTTAAAATTCATGCATTGTATTTGATCTGAATCGTAGGTTGAGCTATTGGTTCGCAGCTTTCAGCCAGTATTTCTGTTTATATCTAAATTTTTAACAGTCTGATTTTTAATAGTAAGCTGGACCGAAAAATTAATAGGATCGCAGTTAGAATGGGTCGACCGACCGGTTCGGTCCAGATTTCAAAACAAACATTAGAGAAGAAAATCGTTTGAACGATATCTAAATTGTTTCGTATTTGATAGTGAGTGGCGGATCACAGAGAAAAAAAAACTATTTTCTCTCCCAAAGAACCCTAGCCATCTCTCTTCTGTCGCTTGGCCAGCGCTCGGCGGCTCCTTCAGCACCTGCGCCGTCCCTC